GAGGCGTAATTGTCCCCAGGGTCATAGTAAGGCTGGGAGGATTAGTCGGCAGAATACCCGCAGATATAATTATTAATTGCGTGGTATAAAAACAGAGGTTCTGTTTGAACTTTTTTTTTTTCGTGGAATGGATACAGGTGGCTTTCTAGATTCAGATTTCTACAACCCACAACACCGTGGGCACGGATGACTATAATGCGCTATATGAAATTATTTAACCAGGATGGGCATTACTCATTTATATGAAGAGAAAGTTGTTCGACAGTTCGTTTAAAACGTACAAACATCCTTTAACTAGATAAACCCAAAACTCCCATACTGAAATGAACAGGACCATTTTGAAAACTGTATCATTCGGAAAAAAGCTTAATAGTCGTAAGGATTTAGGAAAGCTGAAATTGGGTAAACAATGAAATATATGCAAGGTTTTAGCTTCCCACAGTGGTAATATGAAATTTCTATATTTTGGGTATAACGACGTGCAGTCCGTTGAAAGTCAACTGACGGTTCGGAGGAAATTGTCGTCTCCATCTGCAGGGTCGAAGAATAAGTCAAGCAACAAACCAGCGCGAAGAAGGTAGCAAGCAAAGCTCTGCTTGGCTTGTTCTTCGACCCTGCTTTTTGACTGCTTCAGAAAAATAAATAAGACGTTTTGAGACTGATTCAGATGGGCGCGGGTCTTCGCCACTAGCGACATCTTCTATGAATAATTTAAATGGTACATGTAATTAGTAATTGTAGCGACTGGATTTTATATGTCGCTTCTGCACGTTGCGTTTCACCCTAGTGTACCTAGTGTAGCTGTACCCCACCTAACGGTAAACATTTTCATTTCGCGGGAAAATGGCGTTGAGTAAACTGTGCCGACTTCGATGGCTGATAGGCCATAATTTCTTCCGTTCCGTTTGTCGATAATGGAAATTGTTGTCCATGTGTTGGTTTCGCTGGCTTCAGAAGTGTATAGTAATGCGTATGTAGTAATAACATGAAGTGCTTGTATGTAATTTATTTTGCCTTGTTATTTATTGTGCTCGTGATCGGCGATCAAGAGGAGCCCGAAACGAATGGCACAGAGTATGCAAAGGGATTGTTTATATTTAAAGTGACAGCAATTTGGTGTCCAAGATGGTAGATTCTTAATTAGGGGGTATTTAAGAGCCGAACCGCGAATTGTTTAAAGTCATATTGCAGCGGTGTTAGTAGTAAATAGAGATTATGAAGTGGAATACAAAGGTGTTATACGTTTCTAACCTCGTCTTACTTTTAACGTTATATTTTGCGATCTTTTAGAAGGCTGGAGGCTGAAATAAATTCATTTACGAATTTTCTAAAAATTATGTGTACTGCAGCCCGTATTTATGAAGCGCACGATATTCCAGAATTGAAGATACAGTTTTCTAAATTAATTTTAAAATGGGTTTGGGGTTTATATTAATCCAGCCGTGTATTTTCTTAATTATAGTTTTAGAAAATCTAACAGCCCACAAAGAAAATTATATGTTTACAGTATGGTTACTGTGGGGGGCTCACGGGGCATCCAAAATGTGGAGTCCAAAATCAGTAACAACAAATTTATGTTAACGATAATTCTTTCCTCTTCTTTGTTCTTATTTCTTATAAAAACTAAAGACACTAATTCTTAATTATTTTAGATGAGAAAGTGATAGGGCAAGAGGAATTAGATAGGCAATTGCCAATACTTGTAAACAGTTGCAGATAAGAGGAAGTAGTGTCCAATAAATCCATTTCTGATGGGAACCCAAAGCATAGTTACTTCATGTGACAGTATATGCAATTCAGCTACGTTTATTTAAAGTACATGATTACCTTCGTCTTATACTCTAGTACTATAAAATAAAATATTAAAGGATCACAATCTAACTGTAGAGGTAGTTACTGTTAGTTCTAAGATCTTTTTTGCATCTTCATCAGCATCCATTTTTCAAGTACAGAAATATTTCATTGTCCTCAAGTAACTAACACATGTGTACTTTTATTTATTTTGTTGTCATGACTCCTGTGTGGCTAAAACTGTTCTGATGTTTAACTGCCTTTTGATATTGACTGTAAAGTAATTCTAGTAGTTACTATAGGATTCTTACGATGGTGTATAACACATTGATATATTGGGTTTTTGGACTTTATCCATCGTCCTGGTTTACCAGGATATAGTATCTATATCCTATAGTATCCTATAGCATCCTATAGCAACTACTTGTACAACCGGTATGGACCCAGTATTTACCCTTCTTTTAGAAAAAACCAGGATGATGGATAAAGTCGAAAAACCAAATATATCAATGTAAACTAATTATGTGTAATTGTCACATGGTAGTCTGCACAAGTGCTTTAAAGAAATGCTGATTTCTGCACAACAGACTGCAAAGAAGCAATATTTGTTTTTCAGGGCTGGTAATGCTGATGTGAATTTGGGCAGATCACCCCCACATGGTAACAGTGGTTTGGGTCCTATCTTATCACCTCCTTCAGGACCTCACACTTTCCAGCCAGGACATAGTTTACAACCAGGAATAGGAGGTTATGGCAGCTCAACAGATACTGTTGCCTCACCAGGCGCAGATAATACTGATGTGTCAGAAAATGCGGGATTTTGTCAGGTTGGTGGTTGACTAACAAAAGCACATAATACTTTTTTTTTATGAGGGCAGTTTTCAAGAGAACACATGAAATACAGGGTTATTCAAAAAGAATGAACCGATTTCATGACGCATTGCTTCAGTTCTCAAGCATCGTCATGGAATGAGTCAGTGACCATTTGAAAGAGGAGTTATCTAAGTTGTGAATGGCTGTCACAGGGGCACTGAAGTCACGTCGTTCTTCCAGCAACGTTCAGTTGTTCGTTTACCCCCGGAATGGCGATTCCTCAGCAAAAGGCGTTCTGCATTCTCAAGTTCGCGAAAACAAATTCGGTTGTCATGGTGCAGCGTGCTTTTCGAAGGCGATTTGGCATTAATCCGCCCTGTCTTAAGAACATTCGACGGTGGTTTCGACAGTTTCAAGAGAGTGGGTGTCTGTGTAAAGGAAAAAGTCCAGGACGACCATGAGTCTCGTAGGAACAAGTGGCGAGAATCCGTGCTGCGTTTGAGAGGAGCCTACGGAAGTCAACAAATCAAGCTAGCTGTGAGCTTGCAGTCCCTCAATCCACTGTATGGCATGTCCTAACAGTACGTCTACATTTGGAACCATACAGACTGCAGCTCGTTCAGGCACTTACCAATGACGACAAAAGGAAGCGGATGGAAATTTGCGATTCGATGCTGGAGATGATGGGAGATGAAACCTTCATTTCACGTTTAATTTTTAGTGATGAAGTGATTTTTCACTTGAGCGGCACAGTCAATCGTCACAATGTGCATATTTTGGGAACAGAGCACCCACATGAAACAACTGAGCACAAAAGAGATTCCCCTAAGGTGAACGTCTTCTGTGCTGTGTCTCAGGACAAGGTTTATGGTCCCTTTTTCTTTGAAGGAAACACCGTTATAGGACAAACCTATCTCGATATGCTCCAAAACTGGCCCTCACTTCACTGCAAGCAGATTTGCATGACTTCGTTTTTTAACAAGATGGAGCACCGCCCCATTTGCACCTGATGGTCAGAGCTTTTATAAATGAAAAAGTGGCCCAGCGATGGATTGGTCGGAAGGGGGCCCAAGACCTTGCTCTTTGTGCTTGGCCTGCGAGATCCCCAGACCTCACCGTGTGTGATTACTTCTTGTGGGGATATGTAAAAGATCACGTTTATGTTCCACCGCTACCCACCAACCTCGATGACCTTAAACATCGAATAACAACAGCGATTAATTCAGTTCATCGTGGTATGCTGATACGCGCCTGGAGGAATTCTCCTATCGCATTGATGTTGCCCGTGCTGCAGGTTGTGGCCACATTAAACACTTGTAAGACAGGAAATAAAAGTTGATTGTGAGTAGAATACTTGTGACTTGGTTGGAGTTTTGTATTACTTTCCTTTAATAAAATATTGCGTAATAAAATCGGTTCATTCTTTTTGAATAACCCTGTATATACAGTAGAGTAGTGTGATATTAATATGACATGTTGGGCTACTGACATGTATGTGACCTGTTTTCCAGCTGATGTACCAGCAAAGTCAGGATACTGGCCACATGCTAACTGAAGTCAGCTTTTAGCATTGTTTGTGTGTATCCAACCATGGTGAATTACTTCTTTATTTATGATTTATTTAATGATGCTATTAGTGTAAACATAATCTAAAAAGCATACTTTCTTAAACAGAAATACCAATACAGCCTACACAGTTGAACTCTGTTAAACATGGAGTAAACTAACATTGTTACCTTCACTCATGTATACAATAAAAGTTATAAGATGTGTGATGTAAAAGTTCACAAGTTATGGCATCAAAAGAAATGTTATTAAGTGATCAGTACACCATGACACACTTGTACAATTTTCACTGGAAAGGGACAGGCATCCAGTTAATCTCTAGGTAACAGAACGAAATGGTGTAACTCAGGGAACTTAATTTAAAATGTCATTCTTTTATTTTGTATAATATAAATGTTATAATTATAATTTGATGTATGAAATGGGAACTGGTTTAATTTGATAGAACTTACAGACAATAAGCAATTATAATACAATTACATTAACTCAATACCCTTAACCAGTACTGGTATGGATATTATCATTTAGCAATCAAATTTGGGTAGTCAAACTCTCTCTCTCTCTGATGCCACTCATGCTCCCCCATTCACTTTATAGATATACATAGTGCAATCCAAAAGTTCCAAAAATTTGAATTTAGTTAGGTTGATTAAAATGTGTTTAAATGAAACTTATAGTAAAGTCCGTGTAGGTAAACATTTGTCCGATAAATTTCCTATCCAGAATGGTCTAAAACAAGGAGATGCTTTATCACCACTCCTTTTCAACTTTGCTTTAGAATATTCCATTAGGAAGGAAACCAGGTGGGACTGAAATTAAATGGGACACTTCAGCTGTTGGCCTATGCTGATGATGTGAATTTACTGGGTGATAATGTAGATATAAAGGAAAACACACAAACTTTAATTGACACAAGTAAAGAGGTTGGTCTAGAAGTAAACACAGAGAAAACTAAGTATATGTTGCTGTCTCATTGCTAAAATGCAGGGCAAAATCATGACATGAAGATAAGGAACAGATGTTTTGAAAATGTGGCACAGTTCAGATATTTGGGAACAACGATAACAGATCAAAACCTGATTCATGAGGAAATTAAGAGGAGATTGAACTCGGTTAATGCTTGCTACCATTCAGTCCAGAACCTTTTGTCTTGTCGCCCAAAAACATACAAATTAGAATATACAAAATTATAATTTTGCCTGTGGTTCTATATGGGTGTGAAACTTGGTCTCTGACATTAAGGGAGGAACATAGACTTGTCTGAGAACAGGGTGCTTAGGAGAATATTTGGACTGAAGAGAGATGAAGTGACAGGAGGTTGGAGAAAACTGCATAATGAGGAGCTTCATAACTTGTACTCTTCTCCAAGTATAAATAGAATGATCAAGTCAAGGACAATGAGGTTTGGAGGGCATGTAGCACAAATGGGGGAAAAGAGGAATGCATATAGAATATTGGTGGGAAAGCCAGAAGGAAATAGACCACTGGGAAGACCAAGACGTAGGTGGGTGAACAATATTAACACTTTGCGGACTGCACACCCTTTAAAAGGTTTTCGCTTTTAAACTTGGCGGACCATTCGCGTGTTAACAGGTTTTTAAAACACGATAAGTTGCAACACACTATACATCGCTCTGGCCCCACCTACATTGCACGCAACCGTCTGCAGATGCGTGATAAGACTCTGGAATGTTTAGTTAGCAGTCAGTAACTTGACCTCGCTGTTTACTTAACTGACTATAAAGGAAAATGCTTTGCCTTCTTCAAGCTATGTGTATCAGCCAGTAGCTTATGGGGAGAATGGATCAAAGACAAATTCTCCTCCGAAGACCTAGCTGACCTGCCTTTTGAGACGCTTAGTAATGGATTAATTGTCATTCAGACAGTGACAGTGATGGGAGACAACACAGAATTGTGGCCACAGACAGTAAAAGTGACGGTAGCTCCGACGATAATGCAGGTAATAACATTGCGCGTAGTTACATTGCGGGGACAGCAAAAACTCTGATTCAAATTTGGAATACAAAGCATTTCTGATGAATGTGGCAAAGGCCTTGGCTACAGTCCAGATGGTGGCGGCAGAACCAGGGTCACACAAAGACTTAGTATGACCTGGCCCATCAACTCCCACCCCACGAAGGCCTCATGTGGACCCCCAGGGCGACCCTCGAGTGATATGCGGAAAAATACCCTCATGAAAATTGTGAAGAGTGAACATTCCAAGGGGAAGAATACTTCTAGGCAATGCCATGTTTGCACAGTTCACCAAAAAGAAGTATGTCTACATTTGCAAGTTCTCTGTAATGCCACTTCACAAAGGGGAATGTTTCCAGATATATCACACCCAAGCATTGGTAAGTGTTCTCCAAAAATTTAAGTTCAAAAAATCAATTAGGAGATTTTATATTAATTTTTAAAGTGAACAGTGCACAAGTTAGGGTAGTATGTTAAAAATGCCGGTCCCCAGGGTGATTTAAATATTTAAATCGCCGGTCTGCAAAGTGTTAAAATGGATCTTAGAGAGGTAGGATGGGATGGTATGGATTGGATTGAGCTGTCTCAGGATAGGGACCAGCGTAGGACTCTTGTGAACACGATAATGAACCTTCAGATTCTGTAAAATGCTGGGAAATTCTTGAGTAGCTGCACAGTTGGTAGCTTCTTGAGAAGGGCTCAGCTCCATGAGTGAGCAAGTGAAATTGAAAGATTTATGAAAATATTTCTTTGAAATTGGGCCTGATATCCTTAGGGATAAGTAGTCCACAGCACACTGTTAATAAGCAGCTAGTGTTAAAAATTGTGATTACCGAAAAAATAAATTGATCAAACAGATAAAATTCTCAGTCTTGTCCCAAGCTGAGGAAGTGAGTCCCTCACAAGAGAACTATGTTGAATCAAAATGAACCTATTATCCTATAACATAATTGTGAAATTATAGTTACAAACAGGGAGGGAGTGACCAGTTGGACAGTTGTACTCTAGATGTATGCTGTAGGTTAACCTAATCGTAACTTATTTGAAAAGCATAAGGTCTTGTGGAGAAGAATGAAACTATTTTTCACAAATTCTTCATATGCAGGTGTACCGAGGTTCAAAGTGTTTCAATTTTGTTGGCAACAAAACCGTCTTTGTTCCTGCAAGAATGACACAGAGGTTGCTTGAAGAAAAACTGGCTGCTGCATTCATGGTCATCGACCATTCCAGGTAGGCTTCATTAGCATTAAGTTTTGTTTAACAAATGGTAAGTGCAGCTGGAAGCAGTGAACTAGTTACACTTTTAATGTAATGCAGTATTAGTTTAGGGTATTTCATTTCAGTGGGGCACGCAGTAGCGTAGTTGGTTAAGGTACTATGTTACAAGCTAGAAGGTTGTGGGTTCAAGCCCCAATGAGGTGAATTTTTACAGTTTACCTAATCCTTCCAGTTGCGCTATGGCCCTGGGATTGACTCAGTCTCTGACAGAAAAGAAATACCAGGAATCTTCCCGGGGGTAAAGGGCAGCCAGCGTGTAAGGCTGACAACCTTACTGCTATCTGTGAGCCACTTGCCTAGAGAAAATGTGGGAGTCTCGAAGTCTCACAACCCTATAGGCCTTCACAGCCTCTTAACAGGAATAGCTTTACCTTATTTTTACCTTTTTTATTAAATTTTAATAGCTACATAAATTTTCATTTTCTTATTTTACACTCATTTTAAATGCTTGAGAAATGTAAAATCCAGGTTTCACTTTGTGTGTAAGCACATTTTTTTATTTTCAAGGCACCTTGAAGATAAATATTTTCTAATTTGTTTAGCATGTAAGAATCTGTAGCCTAGATACAAATCATACTGTGTGACCCTGCTTATGACAAAGGTAGGTATTGCGCTTGTAGAACAAGGAGCGTTGAATTTTGTTACAGCTGTATTCCACTACAGTAGAATAGGCAGAGCCCTCTTGCTGCCAGTAAATTCCTTACATTATTCTGCATTACACAAGGGAAAGAGTAAAATTATATTTGATTTCAGACAAGGAAGTTATTTAGGAAATTATTGCTGTATATTCATAGTAATTTCTTGTATTTTTACTGCCATTATATCATAGAGAACTTTAGAGTTCCTTACTTATAGTTGCAGAGAAGGGACATGATACCTAGTTTGCACGTCGTAAACATTGTCTGTAAATTACTGTAGTAGAAGATTGGCATAAGAGTTGTTAAATGCATTTTTGGTTAATTTAAAATATTTTGTTATATTTTCAGGGATCTCTCTCCAAGTTGTGAGTCTTTTGCAGTACCGTCCCTGTGTTACTCTACTTTTCCACTTTGTCGTGAAGAAGATGTTGACCCAACTGGCTCGTCTGAACACTGGTCTAAAGCAGCATCAAGAGAGCCCCGTAGGATTTGTCGTGATGATTGCGAAATCTTGGAGAATGAAATCTGCCGTATGGAATATGCTATTGCGAAGAGACACCCCTTGATTGGTCAGCAATTGGCGTTGCCAGAGTGTGGGGACCTTCCTGCAGTTGCATCTCCAGACAGTGATAATTGTCTCAAACTTGGGATCCCAAGACCTGAAAATGTTGAACCAGGTAGATCAGAGGTTCCCAACTTTTTTGGTCAGGCAACCAACCCATTGCTGTGTACCGACAGTTTATTTGTCACATGAGGTTTGGATCTTTGACTGTCATCTTTTTCTTAATTTTATAACCATTACTAGAGCCATCCAGCAGATATGTATTTCATGCCTCTATTAATGTGGGGACTTCCTAAGGGGTGTGTGCGTGCTTGTGCACTATCACTCACATGTGCATGTCTAGGTGCATGTACAGGGTGTAAATAAATATATGATACAGTGGTCTGTGGTAGATAGATGGGTTCAATCTGATGATTTTTTTAATACGTCCATGTTCGGAAATGCTTTCTTTTTGCACCAAGAGTCACAAAAGTTTCCAGGAGGATGCATAAGTTTTAGGGGATGTATCATTGTTTTGCATCATAATAGTTGCTCAAAATGGCGGCCGCCGACTTCATTGAATGATTTGTACTGCCTGGTTATGTTATGCTGAAAACTTTGAAAGATTCCCGGCATTTCCTGGATGGTTCCAGCTGATACTGCAATGCTTGCCACAAGATTGTGTTTTGTCTCTGCTGAAGTCTCAGATGTTTGGTCTCCACTGGAGTGTCAGACACCAGGCTTTGCATATATCCCCAAAGAAAGAAATCCAGTGGAGTAAAGTCAGAGGAGTGAGAGGGTGCAGGTTATTGGGCCCTCATGTCCAATCCATCTGTTGCCAAAGGTTTCATCCAAATACTCACGGATGACATTAGTGAAGTGTGTCGGGCTCCATCATGCTGGAACCACATTTCATGACGGTCTTTCCAAAGACACCACTTCCAGCAGCTCAGTAAGGTCTCTTGGAGAAATGTCAGGTAAATTTCACCTGTGAGAGGCAAAGGTATGAGGTAAGGGCATCCTTCACATTTCAGAGGCCCTAGTGCGTAAACAAAACGTTTCCGGTCATGGGTGTATTAACAAAATATGATCAGATTGAACCCATCTATCTACCACAGAGCATTGTAACATATATTTATTTAGACCCTGTGTGTGTATGCGCGCGCATGCGTGTATTTGTGTGCATGTGCACAGGTGTGTGGTTTTACATGAGAAAAGATTCTTACAATGCACATCTGTTCCATTCTCATTTTTATTTACATCTTCTGAAACAGATGAAGTCTGTTATACTGGAATGGGCCAGTCATACAGAGGAACAGCACACATGACATTGTCTCGCAACAAGTGCACACCATGGAGCCACCAATTCTATGTTAAGACTTCAGATTATCCTGAGCTTGCAGGGGGTCACAACTTCTGCCGAAATCCAGGAGAGATGGAAGATAAGCCATGGTGTTATACAGAGTATAACCAGAGAGAGAAATGCGATATTCCAAAATGTGGTAAGTGTCGGGGCATGAAAAACTTGAGATAGACATTTATGGTGGAACTTTTGTACAAGAATGACAGAAACTTTTACTGAATACTAACATAGATTATTTATCAACAGTGTGAAGTTCTTTAAATGCTTCATGACAACGTTGAGATATCGTGACATTCAGTGGCCTTTTGCCGTGGCAGGCCAAAGATAATTGAGGGCGTAATTTATTTTGTTGTAATGATGTAGTCATGAAAGGCATGCTTTGCTGTTGCACAGGTTATATAAGTCCTACAGTTCTTTTATTGACAATTTTATGTTTAGATAACATAAATTTATAGTTTAACAGAAAAACAAAAAGAATTTAGCTGACTCATGGATTAATGTGCAGGGTTTGTTCTAACTAGAAATTTATTTAGTGTATTTTAATTTGCTTTGCAGAAATTAAGGATCACTGAAATTGTATTCTCACACAGACATGGAATATAAAAATTATATGTGTTCTTTCGTTTTTAGCCTATTTTCCTTATTTTGAAAAAATAAAGTAAGTGTATGTGATCACCATTATATCTGTATATCACCCCCTATTAACTTTCAAATGCCTGGACAAGTCTTCATGAAACTTTGTATGTATTTCATGGCACCTGAGTCCATCTCAGTGGCTTACTTCATAAATCCCTTCCATCAGTCTGTGCATCTGTATGTATAACCCCCTATTGTTGCTAGGCAGCAACTCAGTAAAACATTATTGCAACAGTAAAAGAATTATTAGAGGCATCACTTTCTAGGTGACCCATTGTTTGTATCAATGACAGAATTGTGTTACACGCCATAATACCAATAAAGAAACTGAAAGTTATACAGGGTGGCCCAGGAGGAATGTGCCAGACTTCAGGAGGGTGTTCCTTATGTTAAACTATGCTGATAAAACCCAAAATACCTATGTCCAAAGTTGAACAGTTACGGAGATAATGGCCCGAGAAAAGTGTGGTCTTCTGGCAGGTCCACGCACTGTACCTATCAGCTGACAAGTCTTATCTGTGTTTGCCTTGAGTGTGGTGATGATAGCTCACATTAGCCCCATACACTCGCATACCAGAACAGGCAGTCCGCAATGTTACGTCAGTGCTTGCCATTCATTTGTCATGTATAGTGCTTGGAACTCTTAACAACAACTTTGACATGGCATGCAAGTTTTTTGTAGTTCAATTTATTGGCTTCATGTCACAAGTTAGTTTGATGTTACGTACATTATTAACATTACAGAAACCACATATTCCTGCCAGTTTTAATATGTATTTGGTAATCAACAAGTGTGTAACACTTGTCAAAGTTTCACACTTCTTTGGCCATTATCTCTCTAACTGTTCAACTTTGGACATAGGTGTTTTGTGTTATATCGGCATACTTTAACATAAGGAACACCCTCCCGAAGTCTGGCACATTCCTCCTGGCACACTCTGTATAGTGGATTTTCTGCTGTGTGGTTGCAACGTAAGACTTGCGATTAACATTTACAATTATATGTCATGTTATTGTTTGCAGTGGACAGTCTGTGGCTCTATGTTACTGTGTCCTCTACTGTTTTGGCGTTCCTCCTCATTGTTCTGATTGCCTATTGGTGCTGCTACAGGCGGCGAAAATCTGCAGGAGCAAATAGCATCAATAGACAATTCAATGGGCCTGCTAATAAGGTATGACGAAATTGATGTTACATATGTAAACGTTGTATTTTTAGTCAGCTGATTACAATATCGTTTAGGACTTAACAGTGTACTTTACTTAGTCTGAATTCACAGTTTGTTTAGTGATGCTGCATTCATGTAGTCATCCTTGTTCTTATTCTTCTAACTGTGCAAGTTATTTAAGCTCTTACATGTTGAACACGTGACACAGTCACTGTAAATTAGGATTGAACAATATTGACCTTCTTTTTTTTTTGTTGCCCAACATAAATTCAATCGGTACGTACTTTCTATGCATTTATGTATATTATAGTGTGTGTGAAATAAATTGTGAACTTCAAACAGAATGAGAATTTGAATTTCAAAGATGATACTTTGTGAAATAACATCCCAAAGATACATCAGCAGCATCTGATTAGTCATCAGACTTGTGCTTTATGCTTGATATTAAGTTTCATTTACACATTTTTATTTGATGTATTTGAAATTTTATTCAGATTTCATGCATTACAATTTATAGTTACAAACAAAAGGGGGCATGCAGTAACATGGTTGAGGCACTATGCTACAGGCTGGAAGGTCGCGGGTTCAAATCCCGATGAGGTCATTGGATTTTTTCAATTGACCTAATCCTTCCAGCCCTGGGGTCGACTCAGCCTCTAACAAAAATGAGTAAAAGGAATATTCTTGGGGTTAAAGGGTGGCTGGTGCATAGGGCTGACATCCTTGCTGCCATCTATGAGCCGATGGTCTAGAAAATGTGGGAATCTCAACATCTCACAACCCCCATGGGCCTCCACGGCGTGTTACAGGGATACATTTACTTTTTTAGCTACAAACAAAATCTCATCGCTTCTAAGTATGAGGATGCTTGTCAGTAATATTGTTGCTTCTTCATCTGGCCGAGCTGATGCTGTAACTTATTCATTTAGTTAGAAGTGTAGTCTGTGTATGTTCCTCTCAGTCTAAATTAGTGACACTCTTGATTTTTTTTTAAAAACTTGCTTTTGATTAGCCATAGTATATCTTTAGATAACACCTGAATAGTGGTTCTTCCAGTTTTCATATTTCTTGATATTAATTGTATGTTTATATCATGTGAATGAAAGAGTTTTGGAAAAATCATTGATGGGTGCACCTTGCAGGTAATTGTAAAATGAAATAAAAATTACCCAAGTGCAACAAAAAATTATCACTTCTGAAGCTTTAAATATATTACACTTTGGCTGTATAAATTGTATGCGAATTGATGGCAATAAAATGTTGTGTTTTTGTTTGTGTGTGTGTCTGTCTGTGTGTGTGGACTGGATAGATGGAACTAAATAGAAATAATAATTCATGAGTTGTTCTGCCACAGTCCTGAATATTTTTCATGTTATTGGTTACCTCAGTTTCTGTTCTCTGTGATGGCCGTGGCAGTCACCAGTAACTGCAGATCTTACAGGTACCATCTTAACCTTCACAAAACAGGCCCTGCTTTGAATACAAAGGTGGTTGAACCACACCTCTAAGGTATCTCTATATGCGTATTCACATTGATTTATTGTGATCATTGTTAATGATACCTTAGCAAATTGACAATTAAGTGGGTTTAGTCATTAAGTAAGTGAAATATGAAGTGATATATCACATTACATTATATAATATAATTATATCAAAGAACTTAATTATTTCTATAAAAATTCTTAAAATGTAGTTCAATTTGCACTGTTTTAAAAATATCTGAACGCTCCCAGAAAGCTGTTACATTGTTATGTTGAAGTGTCTGAGTACGATTTTATCAGCTGCTGTGAACTTATATGAAGTAGAAAAATTTTACTGATAATTTTTTTAAACCACATCTCTTGTACAGCCTTTTCTTTCTAGGTCTGTCTGCATGACAGTATTTTCATAATGTTAACATATTTATACATAGTCAGCTGAAATAAAGTGTGGCCAATGGCTAGCTAATAGTATAATAGCATTCTGTGTACTGTAATTTCAGGAATATGATTTCAGAGAAAAAATAAATATTGTTTGCTGGGGCTTGGGGCTAACAGCTCTTGAAAAATAAAGAAAAGAAACAGTTTGTTATGAAATTCTGCATTTGAACGTTGCTTTGGAACAATCCAAACAATGGAGAATGGAGATGAGATTTGGGATGTGGAATGTAACGAGTCTCATTTAATACAAAATGCAGCATGAGTACAAGCAAAATATAAATCAGATTTGGTAGGAACGTAAGGGCCGCACCATAGCTCAAGCGGTTAGTTGCTGGCTTCCCATCGCGGTGGCCCAGGTTCGAGCCCAGGCCTGGTCAAGTGGGATTTGTGGTGGACAAAGTGGTGCTGGGGCAGGTTTTCTCCGAGTACTTTGGTTTCCCTTACCAATCTTTATTCCACCAAATTCTCCATCATCATAATCACCTGGGGCAGGCCAAAACAGTGGCTGATGTGCCGAGTTGACCCAGCTGGACTCACCCCCCACTATGCGAATAAAAACAAAAAAATAGTGGTAGTGTAAGAGGTCAGATAGGACAAGAGTGACACTTCTGTCACTCTTGTAAGTAAAAAAAAAAAGTAAAGCTGTCCCCGTAACAGGCCATGGAGGCCCATAGGGTTCTGAGACGTTGAGGGTCCCACATTATTTAGACAGTTGGCTCATAGATGGTGGCAAATTTGTCAGCCTTATGTGCCGGCCGCCCTATACCCCCAAGAATATTCCTGGTACTCGTTTCTGTTAGAGGCTGAGTCAACCCCAAGACCATAGTGCAGCTGGAAGAATTAGGTGAATTAAAAAAAATCCAGTGACCTCATTGGGATGTGAACCCGCGACCTTCCGGCTTGTAGCATAGCCCCTCAACCAACTACTCTACCGCGTGCCCTGCCAGTCTTGTATAAAACTGTAAATTATCAGTGATAATGGAGAAATTGCTAGCCTGTTTTCCTATGAACTGCTGAATTCTGCTTAATTTTGCTCTCTTTCTGGTCAGATATCTGTAGAATTACTGATGGTGGTGATGGTGATATATCATTATGGAGCCTTAATCCATGGTAATAGTACCTTACTGATTGGGAAGGAAAGTAATCTAGTTTTATATGAATATGTCTCAGCTGTTACATGACACTAACCACCTGTTCTACAATTGTTGAAAATAGTAACCCTCCAATGCAAGAAATACCAACATAACTTATGTCTTAAATCTGCATATAGTTTGTATCATGTATGCAAACTTTTTTTTAAGGTATCTGCATTCAAAGCAGCACGTGTGTCATCTCCATCCAAAGGTAGCAGCAAGAACTCTCCATTCTCAGGTGGCAACAGCCAGTTGATGGAAATGAATTCATTGCTCCCAGCTAGTGGCAATACTGGTGGGAAGGGGGAGCGTTCAAGTGGCATTGTTCGAGCAAGAGAGTACCCACTGTCCAGTGTCAGGTTTCTTCAGGAATTAGGAGAAGGGGCATTTGGTAAGTTGGCACAGTGATTTGCACTGCCATTAATGAAGAGAAATGAATCTGAATTAATTGACTGGCTATGCATGTCATATATACTACTCTGTCCAAAAGTATCCGACCTTGGGCCAGAAAACATAGTTCTGTATCCAGGTGGTTACAATACCTAATCACCTTCAAAGTAGGCCCCTTGTGACTCCAAACACACTTAGCCCAGCGGTCCTTCCATCTCTGGAAGCAATTCTGGAAGGCTTCTTTTGGAATGGAATGGCGTGCAGCTGCGCCGTTGCGTTCTGTATGATGTCCTCGTGTCTGTCAAAATGGCAGCCTTTTAGTGGTGTGTTCAATCTCGGGAACAGCCAGAAATCACAAGGAGCCTTGTCAGCAGAGTAGGGAGCCTGGCGAACCTGCGGAATGCCGTGCTTGGCCAGGAAACCCTGGATCAGGTGTGATGAATGAGCTGGGGCATTGTCATGATGCAGCTGCCAGGTCTCTTGCGCCGAACTGCATCATGAAGATGGCGGAGGACTTCTTGGTAGTGCTCCTTATTGACAGTCTGGCCTAGTGGTGCGTACTCATGATGCACAACACCCTGGTAATTGAAAAAAACAGTCAGTATCACCTTCACATTGCTCCAAACCTGTTGTGCTCTTTTGGGCCTCGGGGATGTTGGATGCTTCCATTGTGATGCCTGGACCTTGGTTTCCGGGTCATATCTGTACACCCATGACTTGTCACCAGTGATCACAGTCTTCAGGAACTCAGGATGACTGTTGGTGCACTCAAGCATGTCCTGCGTGACCTCAAGGCAGAGTTGTTGCTGCTCCGGCGAAAGCAGCTTGGGCATAAATTTGCCGCTACTCTTCGCATGCCCAAATCCTCAGTTAAAGTTGTGTTTGTGGAACCTCTGCTGATCCCAACCTCATCAGCAACTTCACGGATGGCCACACGACAGTCCTCCATCGTCAGTGTCCTCACTTTTTCAATGACATCAGCATTTCGGCTTGTTGACTGTCTCCTGGAACGCTGCTCACTGTCTGCCGACATACGGCCATGTTTAAAGCGGTTGAACCACTCTTTTATTTGAGTGACTCCCATTGCATCATCACCGAAAGCCTGCTGAATTTTGTGAATTGTTTCCGCTTGGGTATCCCCAAGTTTCTGACAAAACTTAATGCAGTATCGCTGCTCCAGGCATTCTGTCATCTTGAGTGAAACGAGAATGCGACGAACACATGTTACACCACTTTGCTATCTGGCAGCCACAGACGCATCCGGCAGTGTTGCGAGTCAGCAAAAAATCAAGCATGAGCATGAAAGTCCCTTCTACCACTACGCTCAGTTTCCCCGCCCCTCTGGCCATTACTTACTGCGGCAAAAAATAAAGTCGGATACTTTTTGGACATACGGTATAAAAGGAAGTCTTATAAAGGGAGCTAGGAATTTAATTTCCATATTATTTTGTCCAGACTGGCTCTGGGGTCCACCAACCTCCTATAATGTGTATTGGGGGCTCTTTCCCCAGCAGTATACTGGCCAGGACATTAAACTAACCACTCACCTCCAGCTAATGCCGAGGTCAAGAAAATGTAGATCTATACATCCACTCCTCCATACTTGATGGCGTAGTGCTTAATTAGTTAAGCACAGGAACACCTTTACCTTACCTTTATTATATTGTTTATGTATTGTTACGTGTAGAAGGGTACGCATGACGAAATGACAGGTTCTGGTTCAGATGATTGGATTTATTAACAGCTTGATTACACACACTCTTTAGTTACCCTCAGATACAGAGCTGTCACTGATTTACATACACCTTATAATCCACTGTTGCATGCACATAGTTAAGGTGATCCATCACCCTGAAATCTTCACAGGTCTTCTACGAACTCCCAAGTACTCCCAACACTCTCCAAATACTGCATCCTCAATACTGCCTGAATAGTGTTCACTTTTCCGTCTATAGGCTCGGCACAGACCACGTAGAAAACACATTGCTGCTCAGCAACAGATATCAGGTATTGTTGTCGGGTATGTCTACCCACACATTGCCTAGCAATAGACGCCCTACTATTGCGTGACATCAACGCCTAACAGGGAGGGGTGTTTACCGAGCATTGCGTAGTAACGGGATGAGTGGGGATATGTGATGTCACTTGCACTTCCTGTTGCGCAATCCAAGCATTCACAGAATTGTCGCCTAGCAACATGCCGATACAATCTGCAACTCTCCCATTGCACGAATGCCCTGAGGCTCAACAGTTCCTGCATAGAGCAAATATACCACATTATTATAAATGCCGGTTACAATAGCCGCATTGTTTAAGGCATGAACTGTCTTCACTCCCTCGAACGCTGGGATCATGGGTTTGAATCCCACTCAGGGTATGGATGTTTGGTGTGTGTATGCATTTATTCTGTGTTTATATTGACCTGTGTGTAGGTAGCAGCCATGTAATGGGCTGATCCCTCGTCCAAGGAATCCTACTGTCTGAAAAATGATTTTGGAACTAAATAAGAGGCTTGGGCCCTGAGTCAGCTGGAAGAGCCATTGAAAAAAAAGTATTATAAATACAGTAAAGTAACCTTGTGTCACCTGGATAGTGGAGAAGGGAGATTGATCTAATTTTCCCCCACAGTTTTGTGTACTGTAACTCATGCAGGAGTGTACTTTATTTTCATTCACAGCCACTTAAAAAAATCGGTCCATAATTCAGTATATTGCCAGTACATAGCAGAGATAGGTTCTGTAATTGCAGCATTGTTATAATCCCTAGAGGGACAGATCACCAGAGTTACTGTTATGTTGGCCTCACCAAACAACTTGCACAATTTGTTATGTTGGGGATTCAGTGCCAGTGGAGGGATATGAATAGAGACAATGTCTGCTGCCGTTTACTTTTGTATTTTAGTATATGTAGATATGTCTGTAGTCTAAAGGTTCCAGAATTGTAGTTTCATCCTTCATTTCTGTGCAAGAAGAGAAACTGTGGTGATAAAAGTAGGGTAAGTGGTTTTTATTGTGCAATTGTGTTTTCTACTACAGGAAAGGTGTATAAGGGTGAAGTGAACACAGGCGTGGCAGGTGAAGCACCACTCTTGGTAGCCATCAAGGCACTCAAGGAAAACGCCACTCCTAAGACTCAGGCTGACTTCAGACGTGAAGTCGAACTTATGACTGATCTGCGCCATCCAAACATTGTCTGTCTTCTGGGTGTAGTCATGAAAGGGGAGCCTCTCTGCATGTTGTTTGAGTACATGACACAGGTATGCCTTAAGTCTAATGTCCACTGAACTTGTTCTGATTGATTTTTAGCTTCAGTTTTTGTAATTTCTGCAATGCTTTTCTGATGTGTTTTTGTCAGGGTGACCTCCATGAGTTTCTCATGTGCCACTCTCCCCGTTCAGACGGATCTGCCTGTAGTGATGATGGCAATGTTCATGTTCTTGAACAGCCCGAGTTTCTTCATATTGCACTTCAAATTGCTGCAGGTAAGCAAAATTCTTTTTGTATATCGCAATTTTGTTAGTACCTTCAGTGATAATTATTTTACAAAAACTGTGAAGATTTTTGAAGCAGATCGACATGAATTGGAAGAGCAGAATTCTTTCCAGTAGACAAGGAAAGGTTCAAGGAGGATGAGGTGGGCAGGTCATGAAGCACGAATGGGGGAGACGAGGACTGCATATAGGATATTGGTGAGAAAGCCAGAAGGAAAGAGACCACAGGGAAGACCAAGGCGTAGGTGGGTGGACAGTATTAGAGTGGATCTGAGAGAGATAGGATGGTATGGTATGGATTGGATAGATCTGGCTCAGGATAGGGACCAGTGGAGGGCTCTTGTGAACACGGTAATGAACCTTCGGGTTCCATAAAATGCTGGGAAATTCTTGAGTAGCTGCAGAATTGGCGGCTGAGCTCCATGAGTAAGTAAGTAAGTAAGACCAAGGAAAGGTATTGCCATCTCTTCATTCATTGTTACAGACAGTCCAAGCTCCTTTGACTTCTCTGCCTCCCATTCTCAAACATTTACTACCAATTCTTGGTCGTGCTATGCCCAAACTACACTAAAGAGTTTAAGCACTAAAGCTGGGCTGGAAGTGATGATAATTCTTTGTGTTGTTACAGGGATGGAATATCTGTCTGGTCACCACTATGTGCATAGAGACCTGGCAGCGAGGAACTGCTTGGTCGGTGATAATCTTACTGTTAAGATATCAGACTTTGGACTTTCAAGAGATGTCTATTCCTCAGATTATTACAGGTATTGTATTTAACTTGGGGGCCATGTGGTAGCGTAGTTGGTTGAGGCAATATATTACAAGCCGGAAGGTAGCAGGATTGAATCCCAATGAGGTGGATTTTTTCAATTGACCTAATCCTTCCAGCCGCACCATGGCCCTGGGGTTGACTCAGCCTCTAACAGAAATGAGTACTAGGTATATTCCTGGGGGTAAAGGGCGGTCGACACGTAAGGCTGACAACCCCACCGCCATGTGTGAGCTGATTGTCTAGAAAATGTGGGAGCCTCAACATCTCACAACCCTATGAGCCTCCACTGCCTGTTACAGGAATACCTTTACTTTTTTTTTATTGTATTTAACTTTTTCGAAACAGGTGACAAAGAAATTTTCATAATAGTTATCAAGAATTTATTCATATTCACAAGTTAGTGCCCAGTGAGTAAGACCATTCAGTCTCCAAAAGGCGCATGTCAAATGTACCCTCCCCTCCAAAAAAATCACAGTTTTCTCAAAAATGCAAGTTACTCCTTATTACAGGAAGTTCTGAATGTGATTATGTGTAGATGGTTACATGGTGAAACTTTTCATACAAGTAAACAAATTTATTCTCACATGTGCATATGCATCAAATAATGGGTGGAATGTGGACTGAATTTGTGAGTGAGCAGCAAATAGTAAGCATACAGAATTTGGCATAGTTTTCAATATTATTGCCTCTTTTATTAGCCTAGCTGTAAAGCAAGAACTTTTAGATGTTAAATAATCTATAAAGCCATTACAAAACTGTTGTATCCTGTATTAGGAAGAATCAAGNGGAAGAAGCAAGATGTGAAGGCTGCATCTGAACTCTTAGTGATTAAAAAACAAACAAACAAACAAACAAACAAACTTCATGGCCTGTAGTCTGCAAGCGAACTATACCAACCAAGTGACAGCCGCTTGTCGGTGAAGTTACTGCCAACTTTAGCAGATAGAGGGTGCCGCGTGGTCATCGCAATAGATCCCCACGGCCGTTAATCTCAGTTTTCTGGACCATAGCCACTATTTCCCTGAAATAGCTCCTCAATTATTCTCACGAGGCTGTGTGTGCCCCTTTCCAGACCCACTACTTCTCAGAAAACCTGGTAGCTCTGGGAATTGAACCCAGAACCTCTGGATATCTAGTCAGGAACTCTGACCACTAGACCACAGAGGTGGACAATAGTGAATCAAATACTCAACTAAATAAGATCTTAAAGTTTGTGATGATGGTACATTAGTACAAATATTATGTTTTTGGGCATCACCTATCATGTGTCTTTATCTAAAAAAGTCCTGTTTATTTTTCAAAGCACAGTGTTTCAGAGACTGGATCCTGTCTCCATCTTTAGGTAAAACCTCAGTTGGGCCCAATGAATAGAGCAAGTCTCTATCTCCAGGTCAAGTGGCGACAGAATCCAGTCTCCAAAACATTGTGTTTTGAAAAAATAATAAAGAGAATGGTTTTTAGATAGAGACAAGACAATGGATAATGTCCAAAAACATATTTGTACAAAGGTTAACTCATTATTCAGCCTGTAATATGTGAATTGAATGTGAATGTTTCTAATGCAGGGTTCAGTCCAAATCATTACTACCTGTGAGGTGGATGCCACCTGAATCCATTCTTTATGGCAAGTTTACAACGGAGTCAGATGTATGGAGCTATGGAGTTGTTCTATGGGAGATCTATAGCTATGGTTTGCAAGTGAGTTGATGTGTGATCTAAAAAAGTATTGGTTGACTTTAATGCACTTAGAACCCAGTGTGCTGTTCCTTCATCATGTAGATTTTGCCACTGAAGATCTTTAAGAACATTCAGAATGATTAAAGAATGTAAGGCTGTTAAACTCCTTTTGTCTTTGAAGGGTAATGTGTTCTGGAATTTGGTGCTGTCATTTTTTAGTAGTTTACTGATATTTTAAAGGAATGTACCGCTTCCATCTTCAGGGTCTAAAGTAAGTGCCATTTGCAATCTTTGACCCTGAAAATTGAGGTAGTGTGTTCCTCCAAAATATTCGTAAACTTATACCAGAAAGCATGGCATCACATCCCAGCACGTACCAATTTTTATGGTCACCACTCTGATAGCCTCATTTCTTACTCTGTCTTCATTATTTTTAAGTAGTAGTTAAACACTGATACCGAACTTGTTCAGGAATATACAGGCTGTAATCCTTAGTCTGTGTCTCTTGCAGTGGCAGCTGGAGCTGTACGAACTGTCACTTTTCACAGGATTTCTCAGTCCCTACAACCACATATTGTAGTGTAGTTCCTTAATATTGTTTGTGGCCACTTCCTTCCATCTCCCTGAGAACTCCTGTCGACCCTCTTTTATACAACAGACATTTTGCACGTCCACTATATGTTACTGACACTGATACAGTGCACTTTGCCATGCAACTCAAATCTTCATTTTGCTCCTTTGGGAATGTTTTGCAGGTGTTCAAAGTGTTGTAATTTTACAAATTCTTTCTCATTTATCATCCAACTTCATATAAGGAATATAACCATTGATATATTTATAATTTATGTAGCCTGCGGTTATAACAAAAGGCCTGGGGGCTACCGCCCAAGTCTTGACTTACTGAGTTTCACAGGTAATTTAATTGCGTTGAGAATTTTAATACCTTTCGAAAGCCAGATAGCTGGCCTTCCAAAAAAACAGCACAAAGGGTTCATTTCATTCTTTTTAGGGCTTTATTTAACAAAACTTCAAATCTATCAAACAGAAGTAGGAGTTGTTTTATTAATTTAAATATTAGTATGTGTGAATATTACAATTATGACTTTTTGAACATTGTCCATTGCCCTCTTTTTTATTTAAAAATGATGTTTTGGATACTGGATTCTGTCTCCATCCTAAGGTAAAAGCCTACTGTGTTGGGTCTAATCAATAGAGCTGGCCCCTATCTCTGGACCCGATCTGGGACTACCTCTATTGAATGGGCCCAGCTGAGAGTAGGCTTTTACCTGAGGATGGAGACAGTCCAGTTTCCAAAATNAGACCTCAGTTCCCTGAGATCAACGCCAGGCTAAGATCTTGGTGGCCCACCTCACCAAACACATGTGGTGTCATTGGTACCTATCACCCAGCAGGTAAACGCAAAATTAAAATCTTTGTTATTATCTTGTTTCATACAGATAAAATAAGTTTGTTTCTTGTTATCATCCTTAATATTTTCATAGAATGAATGAACATTCTTCAGAGTCTTCTGTGAAGTCAGCTGAACTGGTAATGCTTCCAGTGTTTATTTGGGAGGTGAATCGCAGCTGGGAAACCAACTGTCCTAACAAAATCTTTTTGTAGCTTTCCTGAGTTTCTCCAGGCAAATTTGGTTTGGATTCCTAAATTAGGTCATGACACCTTCCTTCGACTTTCTTCCTCATTCATTGTTCACCATCATCCAATCGTTCAGTGTCTACAATACTGAGAGTTCTGTTATGATGCACGAAGGAACGAGTGAATAAATAAGGGGTGGTCATTAACTGGTTCTTGCACAATGGCCATCAGTGATCTCTTGTGCGTTCCTACCTTTTCAACCCCTAAACAGTTTTACGCTTCAAACAAAGTGTAGTGTCATATTTACAGGGGCATCTTGGTAGTAACCTGGTTTCATAAAGTACTGTCACATGTCTGGGGTCCCGTGACTAATAATAGTGGGTTCTGGATTGGATGACCGGGTTTACTGACACTAGTACCTTTACACATTTTGGGACTAGAGGCAGTTATAGCGCTATCGCTGTTCTACGCAATTTCAGTTCACCATTGTACACGCACTAGGATTCTTAGCCTTCACTAGTCGTATCCTGGCAATGGATTTATCACAGTCTCACTTCAACTCACACGTGACACCTTCTTGGCATAATCTAATTCTGCTCTTGCCAATTCTGGAGGCTCCGACTACGGTTCTGTACTCCTACAGCTTCTGAACTCCCAATTCCAATTCTCTAATATGTTGTGTTCCTTTAAACTGACCCCTTATATAGACACAGCATAGACATACAGGAAACAAGTGTCATGTGTCAGAATGTGTTTCACGGGCCACATAGAAAACACTGCTTCCTCTATTGTTGCAAAGACATGTTTACCCAGCCATTGCCTAGCAGTGGGTATACACATTACAGTGCTGTTGCAGGTGACATAATCTCAAGCTGTAGACTCACTAGGACATGTGAGGATGATTCGTCTTTCTCCAGGCACATTTCACAGGTGGGATTGTTGGTTAATACAAATTTGAAAAGGTGTCCTTTCACATGACAATATCCCATAAGTAGACTTGTCACCCATCATAAATCTTCACATTTCTCTCTAAAATAAGCTTACGATATCTTCAGCTGCAATAATGTTCTAGTGGGGAAAGCCCATTGCAATTAAGTAGGGAGTCATTTATTTTGTCTCTCCATCCTTCAGTCCAGTCTTCCTTTTCATTCCCTTCTTTCCATGTTAAACCAGTGAATGTGATTACATCTTTATAGTCTTTAGATGGCACAGTTTCAAATATACACAGCTGCCATTATGTAAGTATGTGGAAACCACATGTGGGAATAGCATACACATATATTCAGATCATAAAACACACAGTCAAAAGCTGTCCCCTGTGTTGTATCTAGATGAGGCTCATTATTTTATTTATTTTCTACAATTCATGGCCACATATAAAATTTTAAACCAATTCTTCCATTGTATTATCAAATTGTTGATGGTTTACAAGTTGTGATCTGCAGTTCTTAAACTTGAAACGTCATCTGTTATGTCATCTTGCATATGAAACTAAATTTGGAAGAAGCAAATAGATGACTGTAGGTTGAATGTTTTGTGTGTCAGGTTCTCCAGATATGGCCTCCAGCTGGACTCCTCCAGTTGCAGCACCACCTAGTAGCTACAGTGGTGGGTCACAGAAGTCTAGCACAGGTCCGAGCAACAAGACTGGATCTACACAACTCTCTGGCAATATTTC